TCTCTTTAATTTTACTCAGGTTGAAGGACTTTTTTCAGTATTCAAGTCAATTTTTAATCGCACTTAATTTTTTTCTACACTTGTAGATTGTTGTTATATAAAAAAAAATTTGATTTTTATTGCAATATTTTCAAAAAAGCTTGTATAACAGGAATTTGGACATTTTTTGAAAATGACCCATATATCTCTTTGGTTTCCGTGTAATATGCTGAATCGGTTAAGTGCCATATTTTCTTAGGTAATCAATCCTAATTCACTTCCGGTGAAAACAAAGGTAAGGAGTTTTATTTCTCTTCAGACTCTTGAAAAAATACGTTTCCTTTCTCCTCATTGTTAATTAGGTTTATGAGTGTAAGACATTGTTTTAAGTATAAGTGTAAATACATGTTACACAGGAAGAACATGAAGGTTAAGCAAACACAAAATTGAAAGTAAATAAAAAAGTGTTAGTCATTTCGCGATGTCCTCAGAGTATCCGGATCACAGTGACAGTGCCGTGAGTATAGGGGATGGGTTGGGGGTGGGTGTTAGGGTGAGCTTACTCAGTTTTACTAGTGAAGAAATTCTGTTTTAGAAAACAGTAGTTGTGTATCCCATTATCTCTGGTCTATTGTGAACAGTGTAAAAAATGAGGAAAAAATATTGTAAATCAGCATTTGAAGACTTAAAAATTGAAAAAGCACTATTTTTTGGTTATTTTGTTTATGTTATATTCATACTAAATCGGAATTTCATTCCTTGGGAAGATCCCAAACTTCTAGGGATTAATCTTCTTAATAGTAATGTTCAAACTACTAGTATTTGCAGATTTATGAATGTTTAAATTAAGGAATGTTTTTTAAGTTTTGTTTGAGTTATTGGTGTGTAAATATACTCAGTATTTGAATTTCTCGCTGCCCTTTATCTTTGCATTTTTACTAACGTTGCTGTAGCACCCATTTCGTTGATTGGACCCGACCTTTTTATCAAAGATGAAAAACTGTATGTATCACATCCACAGCATGGGGAGGGGATATATACCATGAGGGTGGGTATTACTGAGAGATACAAACGTAGTTACATATATTGTTTACAGGTAAAAGCAGAATTTTTGTGATGGGGTCAATTTTGGCATTGTTAGCTAGGGTGTTGAGATTCCTAAAACTAAATATTGTTAACAATTCAATCCGTGTCTGTGACTATATCTATCAGATAATCTTTTTTCATTTCTGTAGTTATACTTGTAGTTATACCTATCTTTTTTACATTATAGAATTGTAGCTTATTTCTACATGAATGTACTGGTTCATCAATATATAGGCGTGATTAAAAAAATCATGTGCAGGGCGGGACAAATAGCTATATATATATAGACAGTAGCAGGGCTTGTAGCAATGGATTGGCGGAATCAAGAGCATGTTTATATAAGGAATAACTGTCAGATTTTTCAATTTCATTTAGAAGATCAATCGATTGGCTTGCGTGATAATTTTGTGCATAAACACCTTCAAATTATCACGCAAGGCAATCGATTGATCACATCATGAAATCGAAAAATAAGACAGTTATTACTTAAATATATATATTGCTAACACATATTGTAATGCAGTGATGGTGCTCTCGGCCATGTGGTTTGGTACCCTGAAAATATGCAAAATGCATATCACATCAAACAATTAAATCAACATGAAAACAATTTACTTCCTGTTGAAGGTATCAGCCTGATAAACTCCAATTTTTCTAAATTCGATCGTCTCTGACTGGTTAATGTGGCCCAATTTAGCATGATTTAGAGATTACAAAGTTAATTTCAAATTTGCTAATATATTTATTTTTTAACCAGAAATCTTTGTTACTTTTAATATCCTGACATATATTACATAAAATTTAATAAAAAAAAATATTTAGAAAAAAACAAATATCTCAAGGTATATGGTATACCAGTAAATAAATATGGTAATTTTAAGTTATATTGTATTGAATTTTTTTTTTCATTTGTAAGCCTACTTCCACATTTAAAATATTAACCTGACAGTATTTTTTTTTAAAAATAATATTAACAAATTGTCTGTTTAATGTTATTGGTACACGAATTTTTTTGTTGTAGCACTAAACATGCTAAAACCAACATAACCTGATAACCCTTTCGCTAGGTTATCATAGAGCTGCTATGTTAAATTTCCTCTTTGTTATTCATGTTGTGCAAGCAGCATAATGGACTAGAATAATACATGGTATTACATGATTTTAACAAGGTTCTTTGTCCTTAAAATTTTTTTTTTTTTACAAAACCTTTTTGCCTTTTCATACATAAACAAAGAGGTAGCTTTGCAAGGTGTTTCTTTCTGATTTTACAAGGTCTCTTTGCATGTTTTGTACTGCTTACAATTTCAACGTACTTGTACATGTTGTACATTACTTGCTTTTCATTCCCTTCTCAATACTTTATCAATGCATAAAATAAGTGTGTCCTGATATACATGTACTAGAACTCCTATTGATGAGATGCTAAAAATACCCTGGAGCACATAAGTACACTAATGTAAAGTAATTAATTAAGTCTCGTAAAACAGGCCTTTATAGTTGTCAATGAGAGGCACATTAACTTGCTGGGAACCGCATGACACAGGCATTCCAAACCAATACACAAATCTGGCCGAGTACACTAGATGGAGTTCTGCAGGTCACTCACCATTAGATCAGGGGGACAAATTCTCCATAGAACTTGTTTTTATCTTGGACCCAGCTCATTCAATGACATGGGTCACTTGTAATTTCTCTGGAGTGTGAGTATATTAAGATAACATGCTCTTTGATGTACTTGAAGATATTTAATCTCACTGAAGGAAAAGGAAGGATGTTGCTTTATTTTTGGGCCTGCAGAATTCTGTGTTTAACAGAAGGCATTGGAAGGAGTTTGTGATTTGAAGTGACAGAAAGTTAACCAGACAGATAAAATTGTAAACTGTATATATTAGAATGAAGGGTGGTGTGGTAGTATAGATGTTCTTGGATGAGTCAGGAGTTGTGAATTTCTTATATTGGGGCGGATTGGTGGTAGGCACTTAATTAAAATGCACATCAGGGGATTAATTCAGTGATCTGTGTGACTCACCTGTATGTAAACATAGGGACAGGACAACACAGGTAATCACCATCTCAGGTGTAGTAATTAGCCCAGCGATTAAATGGTGCAAACTTTTATTTGAAAATGTAATAAAATGAGAGGGTTTTTACTTCCCTAATTCTTTTGACTTAAAACTCAGATATAAAATTGTTAAATGATTTGTCAAATGAATGGGGGAAACTTGTTAAGTTAAAAATTATAAATGCATCATAAATTGAAGTATTTGTTATGAATATAAGTTTGTGATGTGACAATTCTGATATGTCCAATTGACAAGATGGGTTTTTAATTTCGAATAATTTTAAATATGCAGATAGAAATTGAAGAATGTTTTTATCGTCCTTTGCAGTTTGTGACATTATAACACTTTTGATATGTCCTATTAGCAAGACGTATTTTTAAAGCTATACGATAAACCTTGAGAGAAAATTTTTTTGGCATTTGTTTTTATGATGTAAAGATTTGCTAAATCACGATTTCCTCACATTGTCTGCTATATATTATCAGGAATTATAATCACAACATGCAGATATTAGCCCAGGTCCTTTACTATGTTGTAGCTGAACACAGAGATTCATGGACATAACATTGGTATTTCCTTGTAAATATAGATTTCATCCAGGTATAAACAGTAAACTTGTTGACTACCTGGAATTTACCTGTTTATATACATGTATTGTGGATATTCATGGGTGTGTTCTTCGATAGACTGGTTTTATAGAATGTTTTCACCAAATGTATGTAAGACAGAGAATTTTAAGATATTGGATTGTGTGCATTAGTGTTTTGTAACTGAACCATGCAATTTTAAAATCTTTTGAATCTCAGTAATTCATATATATTTAGGATACAGTGTTAAAATGTGAATGACTCTCCGAGTTAGAGTCTTAGATGTGATGCAGTGATAACTGCTTTTATAGAAACCTAAATATGGCTTAAACACATTAAACAGCTGTTAGTTATGTTTTGTATTCTTGATTTAAAAACATTCAGTGACATATGTTTTTTTTTCAAATAGACCTGTTTTCAGATGTTTGGTTGACATTAGTATGTATAGTATGTAAGCCAATCATTTGTTAGGTGGGAGATATGTATTTAAAAAATACAAGAGCATATGGCAGGAAAGTTAGTGCAAAGAAAGGCATATTACAGTTGTATTAATGTAGTACCTCAAGTGGCCAAAAGTGTTTTAAGGAAATAGTTTGGGAAGCAATCGGTCTGATTGAATAGCCTTGTGATAATTCATATACTTTACATGTATAGTGGAATTTCACAAATTTCTAGCAACAAATTAAAAAAAAATTTCATCTGTGGTTAAGTTTCCTTGACCAATTTTATGAACATATGACTTTGTCCATCTTGACCTGTTGACAGCCCATTTCCTTTTAGATGTTTCAATCATTATTGCATACAACAGAGGATTCCTGTACGTTTGTTTTAATTTTGCAGTATATTAGCATGTTTTAAATTTGTGCTGAAAATAAAAAGCTAATGATTTAATTCTATGAAAAGGGAAATTAAATTCTTGTTTTGAATGCAGTATCATTCAGACTCAATGTGAGAACTAAGGGTTGTGTCTCATATTTCATGTTTTAATCTGTGTATAATCATTTCTAATACATGTATAATCTTGAAAAGGTTTAGATATGTGAAAAGTTATGCAATTTCCACAGTAGCACTTTATTAAAAAAAATATCAGCATTTATGAACTAGATAGTAGATATCACACATTTATCTATGATTAGGTATTACACATTCCACATTTTTCATCTTTAAGTCATCAATCTATTCGTTCACACTGACTCTGACCTACTTTTTCCATTCATTTCAGATATATGTAAGAAATATAACAAAACATGCTGAAAATATCCAGCAAATGACTGCGGGAGGATGAATTAAGTCATAATTTGAGATTTTAAAATTCCTCAAAAAGTGAACTCCTTCCATTTAAGTAAGGGATTTCTTTATGTTAAGTAAACACATGAATCAGGTTTCATTTACAGTCGGAAAGATTTGAAAAAAAGTAATTTAACAGATCACTCAACCATCAAAGTGTTTCTTCCTTATAATAATAAACTTGCACTTGCTTGTTGTATAAAAAGATGTCATGGATATTTATAAAAGAAGTTGCTGTATTAATACATGATATAAGGGATTTTTTAAATTAACATAAATGAGAAGTTTTAAATTTTACATAATATGATACTTGTAATATTGTTTAATTTAATGATGAATGTGATAATATTGTTTAATTTAATGATGAGTGCTTTTGTCATATGATATCAAAAGGCCAGTTTGAAAGGGACGATATTGTACATATGTTATATTTCCGTTAATCGTTTGAACTTCCTCTTTGTCTGTAGATGGCTGGAGACGTGAAGAGGAAGGACAATGCCTGAGGAGACCCCAGGACCACACTTCCTTCCTGCTCTAGCAGTCTCGGGGCTTGGGCTGCTTCTCTCTGTCTACTTTCTCATTCTGTGTGTGTGTGGTAAAAAGTAAGTAATGACTATTTGTTAGCAGTTTCTCTATTGAATAAACAAAAATGGAATTTACTGATTTTTAACATTTATTTAAAACTGTAAGTTAATTGGTATAGCACTGGTATGTAAGAAGTGCATATGTATGACTGTGCTAGCTGCATGCAATTGACAGACATTACTTGCAATATTAAGTTCATTATAAGTTGCATATTTTCATTCAGTAATCTGTTTTACCTAATTTGTGTTATAAGATTGATAGTACACATATGTATCATACATGTGATTACCATGTTATAACAATATGCATGAAATGTGTTATAAATGGACTTTGTACACATGTATTTATGACATATATGAAAATGTTGTGTTTGAAATAGGGGTTTTATTACATATAAAAATATTGTGTGTGTTATGTTAAAAATTATGATGCTAAGTACATTAGAGAAATATTTTATTGTGCAAAATTTTCATCAGAAAGGATTATAATATTTTGAAACTGAAATCATATTAATATGCACATTATTAATTGTAAAATACAGATATTAAAAATGAATTTTGGACCATCAAGATACATTATGCTATTAAGAAAGATGATTCAAATGCATAATTATGTCTTAGTAACTAAACTATTTACATATTAAATGACCAAATTTTTACAAAATTGTAAAACAAATTTAAATATTTATCATGCTTAAAATATGTATGTGGGTTTAAGTGTATGTAAAATCACCAGTTGATCATTTTGTAGAACATGACTGATCCAATATTATTAGTCATATTAAAATTCAGCATGCATGTATATTTCAGGTCATCATTGATCAAACTATATACGTCATTTGCCCTACTTTTAAAACATACAATCAGGTATAAAAGCATGTGCTTGAGTAATGTGTTCATGTATAGGTGTTCATGTATCAGGTATACATGCATGTACTTGAGTTAGGTGTTCATGTACATGTACATGTATTAGCATTTTACATGTACTAGCTAGTAGCTAGTACATATGTATATGAATTTATCATGCTCAAGAGTGTGATTATACATGTATCCCTTTTAATGAAATATATATATGATATTTCCTTTAATTGAAATTCATCCTCAAACTTACCAAATGCATTTTAATCTATTTTAGCAAAGAAAAGAAGGAAGAAAAGAAAGAAGAGACAGCACGGCTGAGGAATGGGACAGATTCACAGGTAGTGTCTATTTAGCTTTTAACACCCTTGTAAGTGGCAGACATATATGTTTTCTTCCTTCTTTTAATTGTGAATAAAAAAGCTTATTTTTATAAACTGATATGTCTGATAAAAGCTGAGGACATCAGTCTGATATATATATATATATATATATATATATATATATATATATATATATATATATATATATATATATATATATATATTTAATTAGAATGTTCATCCACTTCCTTTGTTTTTCCTTGTATGATACTCATTGTTTTGCCACAATTAAAAAAATGAGAAAGGTTTTTATCAGAATGCCTAGGATATGTAAACTTTTAAAGCATACTATATAGTTTGTATATTTTGCAGGTGAATAGCATTGCAATAAATGTTGATGACAGTGTTACAGTCTTACAAAGTCCAACAGCTAATGGACACAACAGGTAATCTATTGGTACATGTACTATTTCGAAGAAACTGTAAAATCACACACATTTTCTTGAGGTCAAAGTTTTGTGGTTTGAGGAAAAATATGAATTTTTGAGGATTTAATTTTGAGGATGAAAAATTGTTGAGTAGTTTTGTATGTTAGGCCAAAAAAAATTAATCAATAGTTTCTCAAGCACCGCTGCATCAGTTCAAAAACGGCCAAAAAAGGGAAATAACTCAATTTTTTATTTTTCCAAGTTGAAAATTCCCCTTTTCATAAATGCTAAGATAGACGTTTTTGTTAGACAAACAATACATTTCTTCTAAATTTTCAATATTCTATGAATTAACTTTTAAATAAATGTTTGGAATAACATTATTTAAAGTTAAATACATATTATAACTAATTCCAGAGAACAAAAATTAAGAATTAGAGGTATATTGATTTTATTGAACAAATGACTAAAAAAAGAAGTAAAACCTGCTACAAAAAAAAAGCCTGCCTGCTGCATTGGATTTTGAATTTTTTGGCCTAGCTGAGAAACAATTGATTAATTTTTTTTGGCCTTACATTTTACATTTTGTGGTGGACTTAAATGCATGGGTCTCTTCATACCTTGAAAACCATGAAAATTAAACCCCCCATGATAATTAGTGATTTCACAGTACTTGAGGGTTTGTCCAAGGGTATCCAGTGTTTAATCATGAGAAATTTCTTAAAATTATATTAAGTCTCAGACTGTTAGTTTGATGAATTTGGAATCATAGAATGTCGAATTCTATTACTAGTACAGGAATTATTATCCAATCCACTGGTGTAGAAATCTAAGTGCATGTCATTCAGTTGGAAATCCCATGCATCTCTGATTGTACATGGATAACATATATTCTTGGCCCTAAATAGATTAACAAATATTCTTGGCTCTATTAAAATAGACTTAACTTCCTCATCCAAATTGTTTGACAATTTAGCAACACCATCCAGTAGCCATCTTACCAATGTCAATTGTTTCCTCATAGGATTTTTTAAAAGAAAGTAATGAATGTCACAGGTTCAATAGATTTAATATCAGATCTTTTATGTGGTATGATGTAAAAGAAATGGGATTCTGTTTTACAAAAAAAAATCATATTAGTGCAAATTGACAATGAGCAGCATGCCTGCTATTTAAGATGTGTACTAAGTTTTATGGCAGAAATATACCAAGTATAACTGTATTTGTAAAATATGAGCATCATGTGAGGGGAAGGTTGGGGAGGGGGTTTAGAGGAATATACAAAAAAGTCTTAATTAATACATGTAAATCTTTCATAACAGTATATTTCCTTTATATATATGTGCTATATCTAAGAGAACTTTAAACCATTGCTTTAAAATATATTTATAGATATAGTGGAGGAAGTCCTAAAGGTGGCTCCTCCCCTCACCCACCAGGGACCAATCACAGAGAGCTGCCTCAACCTCCGACCTCCAGCAGGAACACCATTGGAGGAAGGGCCAATCCATTCCAAGGTGATATCAGAAACAAGAGAAACACAATAGGGGAGGCGGGGCTGACAGAGGACCAGGACGATTATGACCACCTGATGCGACAAGGATTCCAGAAAAACAACTTGAGGAGGTCTAATTATGATCATATACAGCTTGGAGAGGATGGTCAGTTCCATGTTCAGGCGAGGAAGACTGATGCTCCTGCAACAGAGGAAATGCCCGAAAATGACTACGCTGAAGTAGAGAGGGAGAATATTTATGAAGGTGTAAAAGACAAGCAGCCAGAAACAGAACCTAAGGTGCAGGCGCCAGCTTCTTCAATGGTAAAGAAACCGTATGATCCATATTCCAGTGTGAATGATGATGAGGATGATTCAGGTGATATAGAACCTGAGAAGAAACCATATGATCCATATTCAAAGTTGAAAGGTGACTCTAATTCTGGATCTTTTAAAAAGAAAAATGAGACTGAGGAAAATGTCAGTGCTAATTCACAAGTTAAAAAGAAAGAGTATGATCCATACTCTAGTGTGAAGGACGGGGACTCCAATTCAGGATCTTTTACTACAAAACCTTATGATCCATATGCCCGTGTGAAAGATGATAAGGATGAATCTAGTGGAGGGACTTTCAAGGACATTGATCCTTATTCTACTGTCAAAGAAGAAAGGACACCAAGGGGAAAGGGCAAAGACGACCCCTATACTAAGGTCAAGGACATGGCAAGAAATGACTTACCTGTGGATGAAATTGAAGACCCCTATAATAAGGTTGTGGATGACCCTTATAATAAAGTGAAAGGTGATGACCCTTACAATAAGGTGAAAGGTGATGACCCCTACAATAAGGTGAAAGGTGATGACCCTTATAACAAGATGAAGGAGGATGATCCTTACAACACTGTCAAAGGTGATGATCCGTACAACAAAGTGAAGGATGAAGAGCCAGAGGATCCGTATAACAGTGTTGATGAAGATGAAGGATCCCCTGAAGGGGCAGAAGGTCAGACTCACGACCGACCTACATCTTATCAGTATTCCACCGTCAACAAAGTGAACCAAGAACTGAAGGGAGGGGGCTTTAGTGTGGTGGGGGAGTACGCACAGGTTATAAAGAACAAGGACTCTGAAGTGAATGCTAACCGGCCCCTCCCCACCCCGGCAGCTAATGTTATCCAGAGGGAGACGGACCCTTATCAGTTGCCACCAGAACCACCCAGGCGGTACCAGGAGGATTACAGTGAAGAAGGGAGTCAGTCGGGGGTGTCTCATTCTACAAATGGTCACACTACTGTAACGTCAGGTGGGGCCATGGGGGGCAATGGAGCAACTGCTGGTACGGGGGCTCCAGCAGCAGCAACAAGCAACACAGGCAGCACAGCAACAGGTCAGTAAACTGCAAAATGAAGTAGGATTAATGTAGGGAAATTGAATGGAGTTTTGAAATAATTGAATTTTACACAGTTTGTCAATAATTTTTCCTATCTTTGAGATAAGTGTCAGTAAGACTCTATATGAAATGCAGAGGAACCACACTGTCTGTCTGTCCCATCTATCTGTCTGTCTGTCAGTGCTCAGACAATAGTGCTAAAATATTTATAAGTGATTATTCCAAGTGACTTACCTTATGTGTTTTTTTTTGTTCTAAACATGAATGTTTTAACCTTCCTATACAGACTTAAGTGAGGTCCTCTCTGACTATGTCAGTTTTCTAGATAGACATTTTAAGTCTCTGGTTTATAATCCTGTTACAGAACCTACAAAGCATAAGGAGCCCCCCTACCACAAACTGACTGCCCGGGAGTCCATGGCCAGCATCAATGCCAGGCGGGCCCTCAACACGTATGAAGAGGTTCCTGATAAGGAGAATATGTATGCTACGGTATGTGGGGGAAGAAATATGACATTATTTATTAATTTGAATATTAAAAGATGGTCTCTTTGAAAGAACAAGGATCATATATGGACCATTAGATTCAATAGTTTTTTCAGTATAAATGTTATTTAGATTTTGAATTTCTTGAGTTAGAGATCACTTGAAATGTATATATCAAGTTTTTCGTATGTCACATCTTTATATTTTGCTTCAGGGTTCTCCACAAGGGGTTTTACCATGGCGGCCCGCCATGGTTAAATTTATGTGCGCCATGGTTAAACGAGCTGCGCCATGGTTAAAATCGTTTAAATTTTATTGCATTTCAGTCCTGACACCTACTTTTTTAATGACTTAGTAGTTAATTGTGTTTAAATGACTTCCATGCACCTCGAGCCTAAGAAAGCGGACTGTGCTAAACAAATACAGTCGTTAATCAGTGACTATATGCTGTGATATATATAGATGATCAATATTTTGAGAGCTTATTATCCTGTACACATGTAAATAATTTTGGTGAACTTCAACATGTTCACTATATCTTTATTAGATATATAGGCCTAACGGGTTTATAAAAGATGACTATTTCGAGCATGATAATCGTCATGCATGCTGTGTCAGAAAAAAATACTCTGTAAAAATTAAATATTCCTCTGTAGATAATCAATTTCCCATACTCTGTTTTTTAAAGCTTTAACTTTATATCATTTTGATAAAATGTCCATAGGGCCTAACGTCTCAGTCGCCATCCTTGCATGCTTAGTTTTAATCGCGGTAGAGTCGTAGTTTTAGAGTTACTTCCCGTTGTTATGAAACTCGCGTGGCGCTATTTTTAGCACTGAGCACGTGGAGAAGTAAACAAAACTTGGTGAAAAATAGTAAAACGTTTAGAAAAAAGGAATACTGGTCCAAATGTTCCTTTGTGTGTTACCTTAAGAAAATACTACCCATTCATCAGTTTTATAATTATATTGAAACAAAACATTTCTGTTCATAAACAAATTCTTATAATTATTAATTTCTGAAAAATATTGCCTGGATGCCATAGTTACTGACAACTGTATCAACATTTTTTCTTTAAATTCCTTTAGATGGTTCCTACAGTTTGGGGCAAATTTTAGTACATTAGTGAGGTAAGATAATGGATAAATCCTTTTAAATTTAATTATTATTTTTTAACTTTAAAAAGTGTTAGTTATTCCACTGTTTTGTGTTGCAGTGGTTAAGCTTAAAAATTGTAAAACCAATCATTGTCTAATGAAGATTAGGAAGTCTAACAGGCAGTTGTGTTATTTTGCCTTCGCGCTTCCTCCATGTTTTTCAAAAATAATTAAAATCCCTGACTGTATTCTCAGGGTGGGATTGTTTCTTTAAAAAACAAGGTCTCTTTATCTTAGTGTAAACAATTACATACTGGGGTAAATTAAATGTTGATTGTTTTGAATTGACAGACTTTTTGCACAAAGTAAACCTTGCTCTTCAAAATACACATTTGTAGGAAATATTTATGATCTTTAATCAATTCATGTATTAACTGTTTAAAAATAATTAAAAGTTCCAGATCTCAAGGTCAAAAGACTTGGTACTCAAAGAAAGGTCTTGGAACAAGAAATTTTCATGCGAAATTTTGAAAGCCGTAACACTAACCATTCAAATGTTACAGTCAAATTAAAGTTTTTTTGGACAAATAGGCAGAAAGCTCAGACTAAAATTATATGTACCGAAATATTTCATTTGTGTGTGGGGGTATAAAAACAATAAAAGCATGCATGCCTCTTGGAGTTAGAGCAATGCAAAATATAATGTCTTGGCTGCATGTAAATAAGTAAACATCAAAATGTCGAAGAATAAAAATTGTGGAAAAGAATGTAGATGTACAATCCTTACATTAGTAAAATTTTTTTGCATGCAGTGTGTCATTAACAACGTGTGGTGAAGTGTGCATCCTTGCACATTCAATTTAGACTGTGATCTCACAATGCTTAACTTAATAATTTAAAAGATGTTTGCAGCATAAATATTTAATCTCCACTAGAGCTTTTTTTTTTTTTTAACTTGATGGTACTGGCAATAATCACAGAAAGAAAGATAACTCTAATTGTTGGCTCCGTTTCAGGTGGAGGGAGGATCTGGTGATGGCGTAGTGACTTCCAGGGGTGCAGCACAGAACAGCCTACGACCAATCAGACAGGAGCTGTATGAGGAAATTCCAAGTAAGAAGTCTGAATACAAATAACAATCGGTATTCTTAGCATAATTTCATATTCTACAATGTTCAGTCCCTGAAAAAAAATCACATATATCTTAGCTAATGATAAATAAAAATTAAACCCATGGACCTTTGCCTGTATATAATCTGCACGTCAAGCATTTAGTACAAGATGATTGATAATTTATTCACGAGGCATAGCCACTGGAGATATAAAAATCTTTAGTAATTTAAAATGCTCAAAAGTGATTTCAACTGATTCAAAATATTAAGTAAAGAAAAAGAAATATAAACTAGTAAGTTATTTGCACTTCATGTTTTATTTATGTTAACTGTAGATGGGGATCAGCTTCCAGCTCCCGCCCCTCCCTCCCTGGACACACTTCACCTGATGACGGAGGGGAAATCTAGACTGTCCGGTGACCCAGAAGGCAGTAACCGGTCATCTTATTCTGAGAGCCAGAAATCCCCAGGGGGTACCACCAGCCCTCGGTATTCCACAGGATCAACAGAGGCCGCGGCCGTGGGAATGATAAATCCAGCATTTGATGGTGACCCAGATTCCATGGGGATTTCACTGGACCCCAATTACACAACAGTGAGGGACTGCATTCCTGACAGACAAGTGGAGGGGGACCCTAATTACGAGAGCGTGGAGGAGGTCAAATCTAAAGTACAGGAAGTGGAGGAGGAGAAACAACGGCAGGCCATGAGGGAACGTAAGAAACGTCTACACGTGTACGAGGAGGTCGGGGAAGGGGAGACAAACCCTGTCAAGGAGCGAGTGCTGAGGGGACACATGTACGAGGACTTAGACGGGGTCAAGACACAGAAACAAGAGCTCAATAAGAATGAGGAGGATAGAAAAGATTCCGACGTGTGGAAGAGAAGATCTGACGTTTTCAGTGAAAAATTATAACTGCCATGCTCTGAATCTTAACTGCCTTCTTAATGTCAATGAAAATGTATTTTGTAAAAGTTTTGTTCAGTTGTGATATCTTTCGTAATGTCTTTTTACTGTTTTACAATTTTTATATTTTAGTTTTATAGTTAAATGTACAGTATATATTATTTCTGCATCATAATATATAACAGCTGGTATCCAACTCCATTAAATCACCAAGAATATTGTTTGATTGAATATCACTTGATATGTTCTTGATTTTTTTAAGCTTTCTGGAACTTATACCTTTTCTTGTTTTAATCTTGAAAATAATTGATTTTTTTCGTTTATACATGCAATATAGCATCATGCATTGCTAACAAAACCAGAAAAAAGCAATATCTTTAGAGTCAATTAAACTAATGTTAATTATGTATTAAAATTACAATACTTCGGAAATATGAAATGTTGCGCCTATGACTGTATGAAATTAAAAGTGCTGCACAAAGTCATGCACAGTCGAATTAGACTTGGTCATGTTCAAAGAAAAATTAAAAGTTCAATTGTAACATCTCAACAAATTGCAAAATTAGTTATATCATGATTTTACCACAAAATACCATTTTAATTTTTTTGATTTATGTCTTTGACTATGATTTTTCAAAAATAATTTATAAATTGAGCTCATGTTCATATGATTTTTTATTTTATATGTTAGAGACATACATTTTGTTATGCATAAAATACAAATAGACCAAAGATTTTTGTGTAACTCATTTTGAAAACACTTGCACACACATATACATGTATATCATTTTTATGTTTTCATTAATTTGTTAAAAGTTCTTGTTATTTTCATGTTTTGAGACAGAAATGAAAGTGAATGAGAGAAAAATCACGATTTTAGAAAAAAGCTTGTCAAATGTAAGATATCATATGATGGATAAATGTTCTTTATCTTGCTGAAATCCAAGTGCAAATGAACTGATTGAATTATTTTTAGACAGAAAGACTGTATTTATTCAATGCTACAAATAACTGACTGATTGAATAAGTATAGAGTCATACCTATGTATTCCAGTATTTGCACTTTCAAATTTGTTATTTCTTGACCAGTGATTTAGTTGCTAAGAAAAATCATACAAATAAGTAAGTAAGTATTATACGTAAATATAATTAGTAAATCTTAAGAAAATATGTTTCACATATCAGAAATTATATTTTATCCTGTTAATTATTTATTATTCAGACAGGTTTTAATTAAAGAAGTACATCATCTTACTGTTGGCATATATTATATACAATGTATATAATGTATTATCCAAATTCATGCATTTTGACTGATAAACTTGTATGCTTTGAACATCCTCTTCAATTATTTACCTTGTAATTTCCACGTAGACTGCAGGGGTCTACATGGAGTGATTAAGTTGTTTTTTTTTTTTTTTTTTTAAGATCAAACAATGTATTTTAGGTTTGGTAAAATTTTTATAAGTCCAGGGTATGTAAATTTGAAAGTATGTAATTTTTTCTCAAATTTACAACATGTAGTAAAAAATTAGCACCAGAAATGCCCTTCTGAAACATCAGCTTTTTAAATTTAATTAAAAGACTTATTTATTCAGAACTATTACCACATGATAGACTTATGTGTTGTGAAGTACAGTGTAAAAAACATTGAAATAAAATTCAAAATGAAATGTGTGTGTATATTTCCTTACTTAACTTCTTTATTTAGAGAAAATGCATAAATTATTTGAAAATCCTCCATTTAGAACGATCATTCTGCAAATTTATGATAGACAAGAGTGTCTATATGTGTAACTTTTTTTTAAATCCATGACTCATAATTTGTCAGATGGGTCTTGAGTAAGGGTGGCTCTGTTAATCTTTTAGTAAAATTGCAGTAATTTGAACGACTTCTGTTCACCTCTATCCTGGAGCATAGAAAAAATTTTAAAAATCATAGAGGTGTATAGAAGAAGCATTAACAGAGCCACCCTTACTCAAGACCCATCTGACAATCTAAGTGCATACTGACAATGAGCAAGATCTAGAGTGAGGCACTCTAGATCTTGCTCATTGTCAGTATGCACAAAATTGAGAAATGCATAACTTTTAAGACAGGAGTTGTGGAGTTATGGCAAGGCTCTAATGACCATATATTGTAAACAATCCTTTGAAAATCTTCTCTCCACCTGGGAATCTAGAAAACAAACAAAGTTCATGGTTATGATAAAATAAGGTATCTATGCAGAATTGTTAAAAACAAGGCCCTTGTGAGCTCTATTGAAATACTGGTGTAATTTATTTTAGTGGACAAAGGATTTTAACTCTTTGCAGATGAACAATAAGAGGAGTACTGAATATTTTAGCGTTTAAAATTTTAGTGGCTACTATCAAAACGCTAAAATAAGCCAAAATTAGCACCCCATTAATAGAAGCCGTTATAGGGTACATTAATTCTTGGAAAATTTTCTTTTATGCTTTTGAGTATTGAGCAGATAAACTTATATGATAAGTGCATATGGTTATGATGAGGAAGAGTGCATCTCTGAAACTATGACATTCATGGAACCTAAAACTGAGTTTCTGGAGAAAGGGGCGGGTTTAATTATGATCCAGAATTTACTCTGCTTTAAGGGAACTTATTCTCCTTTTTCTATTCTTTATGATGATGATAATGACTGATTGAAAACTAAAGGTACTGTGAAAATGATACTAAGTACTCCCCGCCTCCCATATGATTATATACTGTATATTGACAAAGTAATTGTTTTGCTCTGGGAGACTCGAAATGAGTGTCAAATCAAACAGTAAAAAATAGGATATGTGTACAATGGCAATTATGTTATAAAAAAAACTGTTTAGGTATGATTAAATTTCATTCAGTGCTATTAGAGGATTTGCAGACAGACAGGCAATCTGAATTTCTGATCACTATATACCCTGCCACTTTTCAAGCGAGGGGTATAAATACATTATATATACATTAAATATTATTTAAAGACAACGAAGGGACATTGTGGATGTTGAGTTTGCTTGTGTACTCTGCGAATATTGTGTTTTATACTATACTTCTATTGTTATGATGTCTTTGATGACAGTGATGGAGTGTAGATACATGCATGTAGCAATGACAAATACGGGAAAGTTTGTCAAGATTTCCTGATACCAGCACAATGTATATTTTGGTGATCACTTCCCTTGATTTGGGTTTCATTTTTTAAACAGATTTTATATCATTCTAAGGATCCTGTTCGTGGCTTTACATGTGTTATACTAAGTGATCTTTAAGATCATTGGATTTTTTTTTAGACAGAATAACTATTTACTTCTTAGATAACAAAACAATAAACAAATAAATTCCTGTTATTTAAAAATACGCCATTTAAATATTTGTTAAATTATTCCTTCTTGATCAAACTTAACGAGGTTCTTTCCTCAGCTTTTCAGCAGATTTTTGTCTTAATTGACCTCCATCTAAAAAAAATCTACATGTTTTGGTTCTCACAATAAATTTGGATTCTATAATGCTAATTAAGCTATTATAATATTCAATTAAAACTCCACAATAGCCTCCAAATCGGGCTGTTACTGGGCTGTTATATGTTAATTCATGAAAGGTAACTTTCATGAATTGTTTCATCATATTTGGCAAATATATCAAATATATCTTGAAAGTCCTTGAAGAAAAGATAACAATTTAAGCTTAGAATTAGCACTTTTATTTGGTCTCCAAAACCACAAAGATATTGTCAATCAGAAACTCAGGCATCTTTCTGGTGTCAACTTCAGAGTACTTGTGTATACAATCAGAATGTTTTTAACAAAATAATTTTGCAAATGACCAATGACAAGGTAAGTAAATTTACGAGTTCCATTTTAATTTAAAAAGCAGCTGTCAATGATATCAAAAAGGCCTGGACTTTAATTTATCAAGGGAAATGGTCGTGTATAAAGTTGAAAAGTCGTAAGTTTTTAAGCTGTTGATTTTGGTGAAATCTTGTGATTTCAAATTGTCCAAAAGTTCCTTGGAATTTTTAAGTATCCACATCTGATTTACACCACTTCTTGAATGTATTGTTGCACAGTACTCTTGAAGTTTCTCTTTCACTACTGTTAATATCTTAGTGAGGAGTAAAGAAAGAGGCTTGGTTGAATATTTACTAGAACCTGCTATGTATCTTTGTTTGTAAGGATTTTTATGAAGTTTTGGGTCCAAATATATATATATATATATATATGGTAGTTCAAATTCATTGGTTCTTTGAAATATTAAATATATTCAAAACTGACATATGATTTTGAAGAATTTCCTCCTTGGAAAGGGAAGTATGAGTATAAGTTGGATTACCACTTGCAGAATGAAAGCCAAGTTCTTCTAAAATACAATTTATATAATGAGCCTTACAAACAAAGACAATGTTGTTACCTGCATTGTTAGCAGGGACCAGTACGTACTGATCATGTAATCTGTCTAATTCTTTTTTCACTTCTGCTTTATTGAATACAGAAGGATAGATGGTTTTCATATTGCCCTTCAATCTTTTAATACGTGATTGTAACATGGATCTGATGCTGTAACATTTAACATTCTGACAAAGTGTCAACGTCTTCTTTTTCATATCTGGCTCACGTCTGGCGTAATCTTCAATAGAATCCATAATTATGGCACGCCAAATTCACAAAAATGAGCTAAACATAGTTTCACAGTTGATTAACTATTTTTATCGACTGTAAACTATAGTTTACAAACCGTGAAATATAGTTAACAATTCGTTAACTATAGTTTCAATCTGTAAAACTATATTTAACGGTTATAAACTATAGTTTACGAATGCTAATCTAAGTTTATCTGTCTGTAATAAAGCATTAACAACAGATTTTGCTGATAAACATATATTCACGTTTGTAAAATAAATTTAAAATCGTAAATATAGTTAAGAGTTGTTTATCATAGTTTCACAAATCGTGAAACTATATTTATCAGATCGTTAACTATAGTTAAGAGTTGTAAACCATAGTTTACAAATCGTGAACCTGTATTTATCAGATATTAAGTATAGTTTACGGTTGTGAAACATAGATTATCGCGTTAACTATGGTTTACAGATGTAAAATATAGATTAACTATAGTTTACAGTCCGTAAACTATAGTTTACAACCGATAAACCTAGTTTATCGACTGTGAAACTATGTTTAGCTCATTTTTGTGAATTTGACGTGCCATACATAATATTTATGAAATTCCGACGCCAGTTGAAGGATTGGGGTTCCCTAAATGATTTTATTGCTTTTTAAATTTTTAACAGCAGCAACATTTCTGATTGGAGAAAGGTCAAATAATTGACTATGCGAAGTTATTTGAAACTTTTTTGATGTCACAAATTTTAATGGCCCCGTGGGGATCCGGGTTAGAATAGGTACTCAGTACCCCTTGCTTGTCGTAAAAGGCGACTAAATGGGGCGGTCCTTCGGATGAGACCGTAAAAACCGAGGCCCTGTGTCACAGCAGGTGTGGCACGATAAAGATCCCTCCCTGCTCAATGGCCCTGAGTGCCGAGCATAGGCCTAAATTTGCAGCCCTTCACCGGCAATGGTGACGTCTCCATATCAGTGAAATATTCTGTAGAGGGACGTTAAACAGTATACGATCAATCAATCAAATTTTAATGTGACTATTTAAGATGAAAAAGACCGTGTTTAATCCAATACTGCATTTGGATAAAACATATTAAAGGAAAAAACTTTGAAAATTGATTTATATGTTAGAGTAATTAAACTGCAAAAAGGTCAACTTAATTGCTCCCTAGTGCTGAAAGAAGCGCACTGATCCCATATTTTAATTTGATTTTTTTAAATTAAACTATGTGTGTAGATTCTAAAAATATGCTTGACAACAAACTCTCAATACTTTTGATAACAGGAACCAACCTCCTTCACATTTTCTCCTGAAAATGCGCAAAAAATGCTATGTAAATTTAACCCACTTTCCCAAAAAGTAGATGTGAACATGTAATTTCACATTAGGCATTCTGAGCTTATACTAGTAGATTGCAATAATTTAATGAGATACATTTTTGTACACATCGCAGGACCGTAGCATCGATTTTTATTTTTAACCTTTTATTTTTTTAGCAGGGAATTCTGAACTTTTATAGAATGCAGTGGTTTAATTGATACTTGCTGGGCAATAGAAACAACGGATTACTTTGGGAATCAGATAATTGTGCTGCACAGATGACCAAATATAGCTCTAATTCCCCCGTACTGACGAGCATTCATTATTAATATTACAAATGTACGACAGTATTCTTAAAATATTTAATATATATAGCATTTATAATATAAAATGCTTTCATTATTTGTTACGGGTGATTTTTTTAAGGTGTGGCAGCTGAAAATTAATATATCTACCTATGGAATAATTAAAAGAATGTGAAAATTCTCCAGACATGAAGACAAAATATTTAACTTATAAAAGCATTTGTTAATTTTACGTAGATGCACTACGTCGTAATATTTAAAAAGAAGTTGTGCACAATCTGTGCAAAAAGCTACATTTAACAGAAGAAAGAACATATATTACTAGTATCTGTTGTATTTATCATCCACCCAAGAAATTGTCCCGACCTGGCACCTGACTTCAAACAGACCCTCACTAAGGGCCTTGGGTCACAAGAAGTCATCGATTTGA